CAGAGGAGAGAGGGGGGAGCCCTGCCTTGTTCCCCACCTTGTTCCCCGCCCTAATGTAAAATATTCAGAAATAAGCCCATTAGTCTGGACCGCTGTTTCTGGAAGCTTATATAATACCTGGATCCACTTTATAAAGGTGCTACCAAAACCATATTCTTCCAAAATTTTATGTAAATAGCCCCATTCAACCATGTCAAACGCCTTTTCAGTATCAACAGAAATTGCAGCTACTGGGGACTGGACCTCAGCCATAGACCACATAATATTAATAAGGCGTCTTATATTGTCCGAAGAGCTACGGCCGCGAATGAATCCCACTTGGTCAGTATGAATTAAAGAAGTAATGACACTGTCTAATTGGTTTGCTAGGATTTTTTAAATTATTTTTACATCTAACTGACTCAATGAAGTAGGGCGGTAATTCTTACATTCAACCGGATCTTTATCCTTCTTAGGAACAAGACTAATAAGAGCCTGTCTCAAGGTTGGTGGCAGTACACCCTTCTCAAACGCCTCCTTATACACCTCTAATAAAGGTGGGGACAACTCTGTGGCAAAGCTCTTGAAATAATTTTTTCATAACTTTTAATGTTATTTTCCAATTCTTGCAGCTCTTGTGTATTAACCTTTTTTCTAAATGAGGTGTGTTGGATAATGCGTCCCCTAATCACAGCTTTTAGAGCCTCCCATGCCACACCAAGGGATGACACAGATAGCCAATTGATCTCTAGATAGTTCTTTAATTCTGTCCTTAGCCACCCTATGTTTACTCAATCCTGTAGAAGGGAGAAGAAGACACCTTCTAAAAGAGTGTCTCCTTTCACTTTGAGCTAACAGGTCCAAACCCACCCAAGCATGGTCAGATATTACAATACTACCTATTTCACAACCCACAGCAGAAGAGGCAAGGTCTTTGGATATCAAAAAGAAATCTAACCTACTGTAAATTTTGTGTACTGGTGAAAAAAATGTGTAATCCCTGCCAGAGGGGTTCATCCTCCAAATGTCTACTAATCCCAAAGCCTTGCAAACCCGTTGCAGTATCAGAGAGGCCCTTGGTACCTTACGCAATGCTGCCCCACTGTGGTCAAGCACGGGATCCATTAACAGATTAAAATCGCCACCCAGAACAGTAGCATGGTTCCCCGCAACTTGTAACTTACTTTCAAGGTCTATAAAAAAGTTTGGATCATCCAAATTAGGTGCATATATTAGCCAAAATCAGCTTCTGGGACTGTATTTCAGCCAGCACAATAATAATCCTACCCAAGCTACCTTTAATCTGTTTGAGACATTTTAATTGTAAATGTTTACTTATTAGAGTGATGACACTCTTGCTGTTACTCGAGCCTACACTGTAAAATACATGTCCAACCCAACCTCCAAGAAGCTTTTTAGCCTCCTCCGATGACATATGTGTGTCTTGGAGAAATACCACATCAAACTTTTTGCGCTTAAGAGTATTCATTACCTTTTTTTTCTTAATTGGGTTCCCCAGACCCTTTACATTCCAAGTGGTAAGACGCATTGGACCTTATTTGAGAAGACATAACTGCCAACGCATTAACAAAACACAACCATATATCAAAAGCATTTCGGCTACACAGAGGTGATGACTAAACACAAATGTCCCCATAATAGTAACAAAATAAAGAGTGTGCATTTGAACCTGAACATTGCACCTTTTGACCCCAAAAAAAGGCCCTCCAACGGTCCGTGTCTGGTTTGCGAGGTTCCTCTTCGTAACTCTGCATGCTCTTCTGCTACCGTGTAAATCAGTCTAAACCAGTGACTTTAATGTAACGTTCGGATGCATTTAGCAAGGATGAAAATAAAATAAATGCTATGCTATAAACTGCATAGCGTCTATGAAAGCCAGGGTTAGGGTTAGGGCAGTCAAAAGTTTTTCCTCCATCGTTGGTGTCAATTCTCAGCTTAGCGGGGGAGAGCATCCTAAATCTCACCTGACGTTCATGCAGCCTTTTCTTGCATTCCTTGAATTTGTCGCGCTTCATCTGGGTGCCCCTGGAGAAGTCTGGAAAAAGCATTTTGTTGGTATTTCCCCAGCTCAGCTTGCCTTGGTTCCTTGCAGCTCGCAGCACCACATCCCGGTTCGATGATCTCAGAAACTTGGCCAATATGGGTCGGGGACGGGGTCTATCACCTGGCGTGGATTGCTGGCTGGCGACTCTGTGAGCCCGTTCGATCTCGCGTCTCCCCTCAATGTTGAGCAGCTCTGGCAGCAGCCTCTCCAAAAATGTCTCCACATCACCTCCTTCTTTGCCCTCGGGGATGTCGACGAAACGAACATTATTGCGTCGTGAGCGGTTCTCCATGTCTTCCAACTTTTCCCAGATCAAGCCCACTTCGGTCTTGCTAGCTGGCAGGTTAGCCTGCCACTCCTTCTCGGTTGTTTCCAAGTATTCCACTCGCTTTTCAACGTCGTCCATTCTTGTAATTAGAGAGGATAGTTTAGCATCCATCGATGCTGTGGCTCGACGTATTTCAGCCAACCCCTCCAAATCAACAGCGATCTTAGTTAATGTTGCATAAATGTTACTTATATCATGTCATATCAATTTCACTCTCACCCACACTCTCAAAGGTTCTTAAAAAACTGTTGCCAAACAACTTACAGACTACCTTCAAAGTAGTAACCTTCTGCATCCCAAACATTTTGGTTTTAGACCAAGGTAACAGAGTTGGAAAAATGTTACCTCACTGAAACTATGAAACAGTCATTGGATGAAGGCGGAGTAGCAGGAGCAGTATTTTTGGACTAGAAAAAAAGCTTTTGATACTTTGAATCATGACATTCTCCTAAAAAACTGCAAAAATTCATTTTTTTATAAAATGATGTAATATCTTGGTTTGGATCGTATCTTGAATGCAGAGAGCAGTGTCAAGTTATAAACTTAGAATGGGAATTCCACAAGGTTCCATCTTAGGGCCCTTACTCTTTAGTTTATATATATGAACGATTTACCGGAGCTGACAGAGTTTGACAGAGTCAGCTGTCAAACGTTTGCAGACGACAGAGTTATATATGTGCCTGCAGAGATCCTCTGAATAGAAATAATCATCTCATCTTAAACTATGATAAATCTGTCTCAGTGTGTTTCTCAATCAAAACAAAAGTAAATAAATTATCAAACAAATTTAAACTGTTTTCCTTTAATAAGACAACATATGCCACTAAAAGCAGCACAGCAGTTTCTGCATGTAACCCTGGGCGGGGCCAACCAAACAACATTTACACCTATCAGGTCATTATTTAAACTAAAAGTAAAGTCAGGCACCAAAACACAATATACTGAGACAGTTTTTTAAACTTTTCATGTGTAAACCTCCTCGCTCTAGTCAGCTGGTAAACAAACCAAACAGTGTAAACAAACCAAACAGTGTAAACAAACGAATGCGACATCAGGTGGAAACTGTAGAGCACCAAAACACAGAACGACATTTGGTCAGTCATCTTCTTCAAGAGGAACACACCTGAGGAACACACCTGAGGAACACATTAAGAAGAACACACCTGAAGAACACATTAAGAAGAACACACCTGAAGAACACATTAAGAAGAACACACCTGAGGAACACATTAAGAAGAACACACCTGAGGAACACATTAAGAAGAACACACCTGAAGAACACATTAAGAAGAACACACCTGAGGAACACACCTGAAGAACACATTAAGAAGAACACACCTGAAGAACACATTAAGAAGAACACACCTGAAGAACACATTAAGAAGAACACACCTGAAGAACACATTAAGAAGAACACACCTGAAGAACACACCTGAAGAACACATTAAGAAGAACACACCTGAAGAACACATTAAGAAGAACACACCTGAAGAACACATTAAGAAGAACACACCTGAAGAACACATTAAGGCCCTTTTTCAAACCAACCCCTAACCCTCCCCCTCCGTGACGGAGTGCACTCTGTTAGAAGTCACTCTCTCAGCTGAGTGAAGTCTCCTTCATCAAGCTGTAGGTAGAAATACAGCAGCAGGCTTTGGGACAAACTTCCCTGTCTCGGGTGGAAACAGGAACTGTGTGTTACCATGGTTACTCAGCAGTATCTTGCGGGAACGTTTTTTTTTGTAGCTAATGCATTCTGTAAAAATATTTATGTAGCCTAGATTCTTCTTCTTCTTCAGTTATATTAGTGTAGACTTAACACAACTATTAGATTGAGCCTACATTGTTTATTGTAATTTATAATTTCACTTAATTTATTGTAATTTTTAGATCAGGGTGTCCTAAATTAATGCAAAGACAAGGAGCCTATCGT